TATATATATATATATATATATATATATATATATATATATCAACAACAACAAATACATGATATTACACAGGAACTCGTTGAATGATTTATGTTTCTTCCATTTATTATTCAATTGTTTAGAATTAAATCTGTTTGTGGTATAACATCAGGTATTGGCGGTGATGTCTTATAGAAGACCAAAGACTGCGTGAAATAAGGGCATGTGTTGGATAAAACCAGTGTTTGACAAAACCCATGTTGGACAAAGCCGTGTGCTGGACAAAGCCCATTTGGGACAAAGCCATCTGCTGGTCAAAACCCATGTTGGACAAAGCCATCTGCTGGTCAAAGCCCATGTTGAACAAAGCCCTGTTTTGGGGAAAAGCCCAGTGTCGGATAAAACCAGTGTTTGGCAAAGCCCATGCTGGACAAAGCCATGTCTTGGATAAACTCAGTGTTTGGCAAAGTCCATGTTGGACAAGAACATGTGCTGGACAAAGCCTATGTTGGACAAAGCCCCGTCTTGGGCAAAGCCCTGTGTTGGATAAAACCAGTGTTTGGCAAAGTCCATGTTGGACAAAGCCATGTCTTGGATAAAGCCCTGTGTTGGATAAACCAGTGTTTGGCAAAGTCCATGTTGGACAAATCCCTGTGTTGGACAAAGCCCTGTCTGGATAAAGCCCTGTGTTGGATAAATCCAGCGTTTGGCAAAGTCCATGTTGGACAAAGGCCTGTCTTGGACAAAGCCACGTGTTGGACAAATCCAGTGTAGTACATAACCATTAGCTGGAAAAAGCCAGTGTTGGAAAAAGTTAGCGTTGTTCTTAGCCCAGTATCGGACATAGCCCTGTGTTAGACATAGCCCCATGTTGGAAAGAGCCTTCTTAAGGACAAGTCTTGCTCGCAACATTTTAGAGTATCTGAAAATGTACAAACTCACGAGGGTCTAGAATCTAGAACAACATACAAATATGCAATTTGATGAGACCAAACTACAGACTTCATGCCATGAGTCAACCAACTGTCACAATGTTTTAAGTTTTATTGGTAGTCCAGTTTGGCCCGAGATCCATAAGGTTAAAGTTCCAGATAAAGTGAACCCTTATTCTTATTCTCATAAAAGTGGTCTCTGCTTGTGTTGGTGCTGACCCATGATGACGTTAAAGAGGTCTCTATCTCCTGTCCTGCTGGTGCCTGACCCCGGTTGGTTTTAAAGGGGTCTCTGCTTGTCCTGTTGGTGCTGACCCCTGATGGCTATACGAGTCACATGGACAGGAATGGGGACCACTATTTTCGTCTTTTGGTGCCCCGTCTGGCCTTGACTAACTCCATTATGTCTGGAATGTACGTTCCCGGCCTTGACCCTTTTCCACTTCGCTCGTCTGTTCTGGAACCATATTTTGACCTGGGAGGAAGGTATCATTATTTTTTTTTCAGCAAATTTTTAATTTCATGAAGGTACTTAAGAAAAAGTCTGAGGTATTTTTCTAAGCTAAAGCAATTCTAACTTTTCAAATGTTAAACGCTAAAACAAACTTGCGAAAGGGATTATACTAATACCAAACATGCCAACATAGAAAGTTATCATATGAATTATACTGGTAGAAAACATTATAGTCAATAAAAAATTATGTGAATCCAAGGATATGGCCCTATTTTATAGACCTATATTACAGACTTATGTTATAGACTTATGTTATAGACCTAATTATATCTAAAGGCGTGTCTTAAGTCATGTCTTAACTTTTGACACTAACTCTTGCAAGCATAGATTGAAATTGTACGATACATCAGCACTGGATTTACCAGTATAATGGAATTGATCAGATCATGGCCAATGCGATATCGTCAAGGATTCTAAAATCATGTTTTAGGGTTTTAAAACCGTACTATTTATCAATCATCAATGGCGTTGATAAACGTGAGCATCCTTCATTCTAAACGCACCAAACTATAAATAATTAGCATCCTTGCAAACGAAAAACTGTCTTGACAATCAGAAATAAAGACCTATTGGCACTGTCAAACAAATAAATGCCATAGACAATGTCACAGTCTGATCATGTCACAGTCTGATCATGTCAGAGTCTGATCGTGTCACAGGCTGATCATGTCACAGTCTGATCATGTCACAGTCCGACCATGTCACATTCTGATTGCGTGCTTTAGTTTTTGCAGACTCACGATTTGGCTTTTTTGTTATGCGAGTGAACGATCGACAGGATTCGTCCAAATAAGTCAAGTAGGACTCTGCATTAGTTTGACAACATGTGCCAACGATCGACAGGATTCGTCCAAATAAGTCAAGTAGGACTCTGCATTAGTTTGACAACATGTGCCAACGATCGACAGGATTCGTCCAAATAAGTCAAGTAGGACTCTGCATTAGTTTGACAACATGTGCCAACGATCGACAGGATTCGTCCAAATAAGTCAAGTAGGACTCTGCATTAGTTTGACAACATCTGCCAACGATCGACAGGATTCGTCCAAATAAGTCAAGTAGGACTATGCATTAGTTTGACAACATGTGCCAACGATCGACAGGATTCGTCCAAATAAGTCAAGTAGGACTATGCATTAGTTTGACACCATGTGCCAACGATCGACAGGATTCGTCCAAATAAGTCAAGTAGGACTCTGCATTAGTTTGACAACATGTGCCAACGATCGACAGGATTCGTCCAAATAAGTCAAGTAGGACTCTGCATTAGTTTGACACCATGTGTAATCGATCGACAGGATTCGTCCAAATAAGTCAAGTAGGACTATGCATTAGTTTGACAACATGTGCCAACGATCGACAGGATTCGTCCAAATAAGTCAAGTAGGACTATGCATTAGTTTGACAACATGTGCCAACGATCGACAGGATTCGTCCAAATAAGTCAAGTAGGACTTTGCATTAGTTTGACAACATGTGCCAACGATCGACAGGATTAGTACAAAGAAGTCAAGTATGACTCTGCATTAGTTTGACAACATGTGCTAACGATCGACAGGATTCGTCCAAATAAGTCAAGTAGGACTATGCATTAGTTTGACAACATGTGCCAACGATCGATAGGATTCGTCCAAAGAAGTCAAGTATGACTCTGCATTAGTTTGACAACATGTGCTAACGATCGACAGGATTCGTCCAAATAAGTCAAGTAGGACTATGCATTAGTTTGACAACATGTGCCAACGATCGATAGGATTCGTCCAAATAAGTCAAGTAGGACTCTGCATTAGTTTGACACCATGTGCCAACGATCGACAGGATTCGTCCAAATAAGTCAAGTAGGACTCTGCATTAGTTTGACAACATGTGCCAACGATCGACAGGATTCGTCCAAATAAGTCAAGTAGGACTCTGCATTAGTTTGACACCATGTGTAATCGATCGACAGGATTCGTCCAAATAAGTCAAGTAGGACTCTGCATTAGTTTGACAACATGTGCCAACGATCGACAGGATTAGTACAAAGAAGTCAAGTATGACTCTGCATTAGTTTGACAACATGTGCTAACGATCGACAGGATTCGTCCAAATAAGTCAAGTAGGACTATGCATTAGTTTGACAACATGTGCCAACGATCGATAGGATTCGTCCAAAGAAGTCAAGTATGACTCTGCATTAGTTTGACAACATGTGCTAACGATCGACAGGATTCGTCCAAATAAGTCAAGTAGGACTATGCATTAGTTTGACAACATGTGCCAACGATCGATAGGATTCGTCCAAAGAAGTCAAGTAGGACTCTGCATTAGTTTGACAACATGTGCCAACGATCGACAGGATTCGTCCAAATAAGTCAAGTAGGACTATGCATTAGTTTGACATCTGCGAACAGGCAGGGCTTTTCAATGGTTTGACAAAACGACTATATACGTCACAGCTATAGAAAAGCCGTGTAACTATATGTGAGCCAGGCATTAGACTAAATAAGAGTAGCTTAGAGTAGATAAGAGTAGATTAGAGTAGGTAAGAGTAGATTAGAGTAGGTAAGAGTAGATTAGAGTAGATACGAGTATATATGAGTAGATAAGAGTAGATTAGTTGATAAGAGTATATTAGAGTAGATAAGAGTAGCTTAGCGTTGATAAGAGTAAATTAGAGTAGATAATAATAGATTAGATTTATAGATACAAGTAGATAAGATTAAATTAGAGTAGATAAGATTAGAATGGAGTAGATAAGAGTAGATTGGAGTAGATTAGAGTAGATGAGTGTAGATCAGAGTAGATAATAGAAGATTAGAGTAGATAAGAGTAGATCAGGGGTGTCCAAACTTTTAAGCCCGTGGGCCACATATATCAAACAGCAGTTCCGGGGCCGACTACACACTCGAGGTCCAAATAAAAAACAATTAAAACATGGATGTTCTTTTTTTAAAAATTATTTATTCAATATTATTTTATTCAATTATATTTTAATAACACATTGAACATCTGTATTAGTGGGAATGGGGAAATTGTTTCCTGGATGCCAAAATAGCAGACATTTTTGGCTTTAGAGTTGATGTCCCTAACACCAACAGTGACCTGAGATTGTCATCGGACAAATGTGTTCTCAAATTGTTCTTCACGAATTTCATTCTTAAAAATGTTACTTCACACAGGTATGTTGTTCCAAAGATTGAAATGTATCTTGATGCAAAAGTTTTGAAATTAGGGAAGTCTTTATTGAGCAAAAACTGGTAAAAACCCACGAGTCCTACTTTGAACTTGTCCCTAAGGAGGTTATTTGCTTGCAACTCAATGACCCCCAGTCCTCCAGCTGCAGTTTATCTGGGCAACTGGGTACATCTGCTTCGAATGGGTTTTGAAACAGCCTCATTTCTGCATTTGAATCCAAGTCAGAAAACCGCTGCTGAAACTGCAGCTGAGAGTCTTTGATGATCTCGAATACAAATGTGGTAGGGAATTCCGCTGTTGCTTCAGCCATGAAGACCGTCCGCTGCTGAAAGTGAGTCAAGTTTTTGGCCTGTACTTGTTCCAAAAAAAAAAACAACAACAAAAAAAAACAAAAACAAGACGAGTTTAGATCTGAAGGCCTTTAGGTGGGTGTCTAGATCAGAAACTTGAGTTTCCTATCCTTGTAGTTTAAGGTTCAGAAAATTTAAATGACTAGTTATGTCTGCAGCAAAGACCAGGTAGGGAATTCCGCTGTTGCTTCAGCCATGAAGACCGTCCGCTGCTGAAAGTGAGTCAAGTTTTTGGCCTGTACTTGTTCAAAAAAAAAAAACAACAACAAAAAAAAACAAAAACAAGACGAGTTTAGATCTGAAGGCCTTTAGGTGGGTGTCTAGATCAGAAACTTGAGTTTCCTCTCCTTGTAGTTTAAGGTTCAGAAAATTTAAATGACTAGTTATGTCTGCAGCAAAGACCAATTTCCATACCCACTCTTCATCAGACACTGATGGCTGTGGCTTGCCTTTACTCTCCAGGAAGTCACCTATTTCCTTTCTTAACTTAAATACTCTGCTCAGAACTTTCTCACAACTTAGCCATCTTACTGCTGTGTAATATGGTAAATCTTGCGATTCTGTGTCTGTATCTTTCAACATGTCACTCAACTTTCTATGGTTGAGCCCATGTGACCTTATTGAATCCACTATCTTCACCACAGGAGTCAGTACACTGCAAATTTCCACACATTTAGCACACAAAGCCTGCTGTTGAATAATACGGTGCTGGAGCATTGGTCATTGGTTTTTCTGATTACACATCTGCTTCACTTGTCCAACCAATTTAGCCTTTCTTAATGCCATTCATGTTCTTTCCTCCATCAACAATCAGACAACTGAGGTTAGTCAAGTCCAAGTTATAATCAGCAAATGTTGTTTTTTCAACTCATTGAATATATCCTCTCCGTTAACAGTGCCTTACATGCAATATAAGGACGCCAGCTCTTGTGTTATGTTCCTGTCTTCATCCACAACTCTAATGAGCACAAGCAGTTGAGAGGTGGAACAGCTGTCCAGTGATGATTCATCCATTGCAATTGAAAAATGGTGAATTTGCTTGCATTTTTCGCTATTTGAGCCACAATGTTTTCACCCAGGTCTACAACGCACGGCGGGTCATGGTATTTGCACCCAAAGCTACATTTTCAGATTGTTTTGAGTTTTCTGGGCAAAGTTCCTCAGCCACCACCAACAAACATCCCTTCGCTACTTCATCATCTGTAAACGGTTTGCCCCTTTCAGCCAGGACCTATAGGCAACTTTATAAGTGATCTTAGTTAAGGATTCATTTTCTTTTCAGGATTTACTGAACAATGTCCTCGGAGATGTGAGTTGATTTTATAATTTAGAAAAACTTTCCACACAGACTATATCTATATCCAACAGTCTATAGTTCTCCTGATGTTTGCTTGGATGACGGCGCAGATTGTATTCTTTCATCACAGCCACGGTTTCGTAGCAAATCACACACTATGCCTCTTCGTCGGATTTGATGAAGAAGTATTTCAAACTCCATTTTTCATGAAATTGCCGACACTCATCGTCTATTTCTATTTTACTCTTCCCGGCCATCGCTGGGCACAAAAATAAAGTGAACTCAACTGAACGTATCCTGCACACCATATCGCTCCAAAAAAAATCTGTTTATGCGAACTAACTCAGTCGCAATTATAGCTGCAAATGACCCGAAAATTCTTATAATTTCCTAAGTTAAACTTACCTGAATATAGTGTGCAAATATATTCCCTTAGGGTAAAGAGATAGTTGCATTTAATGTTTCCTCTTCAGAGTATTCGAAAAATTCTTACTAAACTATAACGCCATTCCCAATACTTTTAGCACCATGATAAGTAATTAGGTCAAGGAAATTATCACTAAATAAAATAGAGTGCACCTTGTTTCGCAATCAGACGCTAACTGACACCAACATCTCCTCATCGCAGCAGTTAACCGCAGCTGTGATAAAAAAAAATCAAGTCTTGAACAAGTAGCAAACAATTTGAAAACTCCGCCACTAGATGGCATTACATTATCTCATTGACTGTGAACTGCGTGCCTCTATTTTAATCGGTAAAGCCATAACGTCCACGTAAGCGGTGGCTGACCTGGCAGAATGCACGTAAATTTCCGTAATTTTTTTAGAACGAAAGGTCTCCACAGGCCGGATGAGAAGGCCTCGCGGGCCATATCCGGCCCGCGGGCCATAGTTTGGAGACCTCTGGAGTTGATTATAGTAGATAAGAGTAGATTAGAGTAGATAAGAATAGATAAGAGTAGACAAGAGTTTACTATTAGAGTAGATTAAATTAAATGAGAGATATGAATATGATAGAGAACACCTTTGTGGTGTTAGGAGAGACTTTATCATTAGTTTTAATTTTTTGTCTAGCGGTTAATATAGATTTTTATCATAGCTGCATCGTTTTTTGTTTTTTTTGACACTTGCATTTATTTGGATACGTAAGTGACTTTTTCCCGTACTGGCAGTTTGTTGACTGCATTGTGAACACTTATCCGATAAATAAGTAAACCTGAACTTCTAAATGTCTTAAGGTTAAATGACGTCATACTAGACACCAGCCTATGTAGAGGCTAGGAGAAAGACACGCATTCCTATCGACTCTGACGGTGTTTTCTGTTGCCATACGAAGGAGACCTACTCCTAGAGGACGTACTATTCGCCAACAATCAGATATATAAATAATTACACGCTATTATATACAAGTCATATGAAACGATCACAGGCACAAAGACCTACCTGGACCTCGCTCAGGCGTAACTGGGCGGCTATGGCCGATCGCTCGGACAGGGAGAGATATTTCTTGCTGTGGAATTCTTGCTCCAGCTCCAGCAGCTGATCGCTGGTGAAGGCGGTCCTCCTGCGTCTCGACTTGCCCTCACATCCGCCGTCATCCGTGTTCTCGTCATCGCTGGAGGCTTCGATCTTTGATGCGCCGGTGGGGCTACCTGTCACTAAAGTAGCGGAGCCATCGGCCGGTGATCTTTTATGGAGACCTGTCTGACACGGTTTGGCTGTTTTGTCATAGACGTTTTTATGGTCTGGACTATCGACTCGAGTTTGACCACTTTTGAGACAATCGTTCATCACCATCCTCTCAGTATTTTTTGTTCCCACCTCGTGGGGTGGGTTCAAAGGAAGTGGGTCACCCGAAAACCCCGGACGGGTGTTGGCATTGGAAAACATGGCGGCATGCTGTTGATGGGATTGGTGACCTATAAAGTTTGGTACAGGGGATAAGTTCCTGCTAGCGGTCCACCAGAAATTACTGTGAAAGTGCGGAGAACTGTCTCCGACACACCCAAGATCTGGGTCGTATTTCGAGGCCGTTAAACGGGAGACTGTTGAAGCATCCTCAAAAGCGCTACATGTTGTCAAAGAGTGTGAGAACCGTTGGTGAGAAAATGAGTTGAGGTATCCTTGGGATGATGCAGTGTCACCTGCAGATGAAGTGGTGAGCACCTGCGAAAAATCAAATTTTGGATGGTTAGGTCTGATATTTCCATCAATGTGAGGATTGTTGGATCCCCGGTGTCTTTCTATGGGAACAGTTCGCACATCAAAAGCAGATTCATGACGGGTGGTTGAGAGGTATTCAAACGCATGAAATCGTGGGTCAAATTTGAAACAATCTGATTTTGAAAGTACGTTGGTGCGTGGCTCACGCGAAGGGATGTCGTCATCTCGGTGTCTGGACTCGCAATCCTTGGCACGCGTTGCCTCCGACACAACTTCACCGGTTCTCAAACTACTTTCTACGTCATCAGTGTCCGGCCGCAAGCTTTCGCGTGTTTCGCCGACACTCAGAGGTCCGCGGCGACGGTTTAGCTGACCATCACAAGAAACACTTGCTTCTTCGTCTCTCTCACCAACATCGGGGGTTTGCGAGGGATTACTGCGCCCGGGCTCTGATTTGGCAGCGAGGTGAGGAGCTTCGGAAAGCGACCTTTGATCCATAGCGTCAACGATGGGATGGTGAGGCTCGTGGTTTCTGATGTACTCTCCTGTCAGTGGTCTGTGAGGTTGATCTACCCTCTCTGGTGAATCGTCTCCTGCTCCAGTAACCGGCGACTCTTTGAAATCTGTCAGGTGCATTCCCGCGATGTAGGTCCATGGTTGCTTTTGGCCGTGATGGTTCCCATTACCCTTGGCGTGCACTGAAAATATAATTTTGGAGCTGCTTCGACTTTCATCGCCACTAGAGCCGAGATCTTCTGGAAATAGAAAGTACAGAATGATTAAAACAATTATACATTATTTATATATATATATATATATATATATATATATATATATATATATATATATATATATATATATAAATAAAGTATTGGAAAGCAAAAATAATAAATCTTTGATTGCTTTGAATCTCCTATTATATATACAATTATACTTCATATTAGGGCATACTGGTTAAAAACGCGAATAGTTCATGTATTTAAATACCGGTATTAAATTATGTTTCAAAGAGCTGCGTTCAAATTCTGACACTAGACAGTCTTTCTTAATGTCTAATAAATGCTTGCACAACATACGGCCCGCCAGCACCCACATTGCGGCCCGCGAAGTAACGAAATATTATTTTTTATAATTCTTTTAATAGCTCCCCCCCCCCCCCGTCCTAGTTTCTTTCGGCCCGTACAGGTTTTTTCATAAAGTATTACGGTCCGCCTAACATTTTGAGTTGTACAGGCCTGTATAATAAATTAAAATTGTTTGTTTGAAAAATCTTTTTGCTAAATTAAAAATTTAAAAAAAAATTCGCTGCCCGGTACATTAAAAAAAATATTTCTCGGACACCATTTGCATTTCAATAGAAAAATTGACATCGCTATAACTGTAATGTCTTAACAAATAACTTTGGGAAAATGGAATGCTACAATCTATTTGAAAAATCCAAAAAAAGGAAACGCATAGAGGAAAAAAAGTTGCATCGAAGTGAGAATCGAACAAAGTTCAACTGCGTGTTTATACAAGCGATCTACAAGCACATCAAGATCTGGGGCAATTAGCATGAGTCTCCATGAGCTGGCGTTTTCCTTGAGCTCTACACAATATAAGATAAGTTATTTTATTTCAATTTATTTCGTTGTTTCCTTATTTTTGTTAGCCGAAGAATTAGGCTTTCTGCCGACACTTTCATTGTTTCGATGTCTCTTTTGTTTTGTTCAGTTTACCCGTAATCTGAGCTACTTGTTTCCTATTACCTAACCTGCTATTAAGAAAACTTTAAGTTGCTTCAAGATAACAAAATGTTAATTAGGATATCATTTTTAATTAAACCCTAAAAATATAGTTGTTTTTGTGTGTGGTATAAATCCATTATGAAATGTAACATCGCGTTATGGGGTGGGCTGAACATTTGTCAAACATGTACACAAGTAACGTGCTTTACACAAGTAACGTGCTTTAAAAAAATCCCCAATAAGTGCCCCTGCCCCCCACACCCAGACTCTATACCACACATTCTTTTCACGCCCCTTACCTAAATTAATATTCTAATGACCCACTCGCTTTTTACACCGCATATTCATTTTTACCCGACGATTTTAGGAAAATAAAATAAAACGCACAAAACGCACTAGCGAGATTTTTTTTAAAAAAGGAACTCATTTAGCGCAGTTATCGGGAATTTTACTTTATGTTCTTGAACAACAGGAAAAAACTGATTATTTGGGCTGGAGATGGGGCTGAAAATTTGAAGAAAAAAAAATGTGTTGACATTGGCAACTAGTCTTTGTGCCAAGTTTCAGCTCGATAGTTTGATGGGAAGTGGGTCAGTTAGCCGTCCTAGGACTTTGCCAGTCCGCCACCCAGACAGCCAGCCAGCCATCCACGAATAAAGGGCGAAGTTATTATAAAGGATTTTAAAAAACGCACGGTTCACCCAGACACAAAATAACACTAACAAATTGTTAATTCCAATTTAATTTACAAACAATAAATAAATTGTAGTAAAATAATATCTGCATTAAAAACATTAAAAAAAACAAACAAAACTGTTTCATAAAACAAATTTTAGATAATTTTCAAATTAATGGAACTGCCGTAGAAATATTTCTCTCAAGTTATGAGCATGAACGTGTATAAGTTGATAACCAGGAGTGTATTTTGACCAAAAATGATAGATTCGAGGTTTGATGCTTGACTTTATGTTTTTCCATTACTTTGAAGGTGAAGGCAAACAAAGAGATAGATAATAAAAAAAGATATTGGCATAATAGGCAAAAACAAATAATTCAACTGGTGAAACATAGAGCATTATTTTAAAGCAACGAGGCATCGCCGACGTTGCAAAACTATGAGTCCTCCCTTGAGTCTTCACATAACTATGATTAACTTAATAGTTCGATACCCCCCTCCTCCCCTCCGCACAAACCACAAACAACACAAACTTGAGCTTCCCCATATTGGTATACCGCCAATCTGTCCCACAGCTCAGTCAATCAAAACCTTCAAAGCAACTCCCACTCAACATATACCTCCCTTTCAACCTACGAAAATGTCCAGTTTTCCCCTAACATCGGCAAATTTATGACCTAGAATCACGTCTGACTGATTGATTGTGGATGCAGGTATCATGGATTTTATTATTGTTATGGACGCAGAATGATGATCCGGGGGATTAGACGTAACTGTCACATCCGGGGAACTCAAGGGGAAAAAACAACAACTGTTTTTGTGTGGGCGGGGTAGGGTAGATTACATGAGACCTGCAAATATTGCGATACCGATCACTTCATGTCATCCGTGACATGGATTATGTTATGGATTATGTTCTAAATCGTTCAATTCTTTTAATATCTCCATATGGCTGTAAACTAGTTCTCTACATTATCGTCGTCTTACACCAGGGATTCTCAAAACTTGCACAAACAGAAAGACGCGCCAACCAATATTCTATGATTAAAATTGTTAAATGAGATAATTTTTTAAACAATAAGTCTGACATTTTGTATCGGTATAGTGCTCATCAAAAAATATACTGTACAATTAACTGTACTGGAGATCCCGTAACTCTTGTAAAAAGTAGATTCTGTCATGCCGATTCCTTAAAGGGTTAAAAGCGGATTCTCCCATTCCAAGCGGCTGGAATAAAATTGAAATAGTATCATTTTATTATTGACCAGTCAGTTCTTTGTTTAAAACGGAGCCGTGTATTTATTACGGAAAGGATTTCAACAGTCGGCAAATGTACACATTTCGCTGCATCGCCTGTTTCAACGTTTCTCAGATGTGCCACGGGCAGTACAATGGACTTTGCTTTTGGCACATAATGATGTCAGAAGCCAAAAAAAAGGAAAAGACTTAGCAAAGGAAGAGTTCTGTAGCGTTTTGTGTGCGTGGCTACTTCGTGAGAATGTGATGGAGTTTCTCTAAAACAGATTAGGTGTCACGTCAGCTGTTTCATATTTATACAGTCTTTAGTGTGGGAAAAAAAATACCTAAAGTTAGAAAATGCATAGAAAAACTACAAGATGATTTTGAGGCCTATTTAAATATTTTTTTTTGGGAATCTTTAGAATGTGTGTGTGTGTATTTATATATTCCATTTACTTTCCTTCTTAATAGTAACTGGACAGCTGCTGCAACAAACTTTCCTAGCATTCGTCAAACTGCTTGTCAGCTTGAAACAGCTGATTTCAAGAACACATAGTGCGATTCAGAATCAGAATTACATTATCAAACTAGCTTGGGACTAGCACAAGATTAGCAAGCATATAAAGTCTTGAAAACTCAATGCGAACTGCTTTAACTTCATACACGCCAGCTCACCAACCAGACTACCACAGGCAAACTCAGTAAAATACATGTAATGTCCACACAATGAAACGGTTGTCTAACTAAACTAGTTGGGTTTGGGAGCTGCACATGAAGTAGAAGCAAGCATGTGCAAGGTGAGTGCACATGAAGTAGAAACACGCATGTGCAAGGTTAGTGCACATGAAGTAGAAGCAAGCATGTGCAAGGTGAGTGCGCATGAAGTAGAAGCAAGCATGTGCAAGGTGAGTGCACATGAAGTAGAAGCAAGCATGTGCAAGGTGAGTGCACATGAAGTAGAAGCAAGCATGTGCAAGGTGAGTGCACATGAAGTAGAAGCAACCATGTGCAAGGTGAGTGCACATGAAGTAGAAGCAAGCATGTGTAAGGTGAGTGCACATGAAGTAGGTGCAAACGTTGCATAATTTCACCAAGGTGATCCATGTTCCATGGCTGATATTCTTCTGGTGCTAGCCGTTCCATGGCTGATATTCCTTTGGTGCTAGCTGTCCATGGCTGATATTCTTTTGGTGCTAGCTCTCCATGGCTGATATTCTTTTGGTGCTAGCTGTCCATAGCTGATATTCTTTTGTGGCAAGCTGTCCTTGGCTGATATTCTTTTGGTGCTAGCTGCCCATGGCTGATATTCATTGATGCTAGCTATCTATGGCTGATTTTCTTTTGGTGCTAGCTGTCCATGGCTGGTATTCTTTTGGTTCTAGCTGCCCATGGCTGATATTCTTTTGGTACTAGTTGTCCATGGTTAGTATTCTTTTGTGGCTAGCTGTCCATAGCTGATATTCTTTTGATGCTAGCTGCCCATGGCTGATATTCATTGGTGCCAGCTGTCCATGGCTAATATTATTTTGGTGCTTGCTGTCCATGGATGATATTCTTATGGTGTTAGCTATCCTTCCAAAATATCCTAAATCTCGAGGAAGATGACACTTGGTACAGCAGTGGAACAGTACAAAAACATCCAGTACAGCAGAGGAACGGTACAAAAACGTCCGGTACAACAGCGGGTCAGTACAACAACGTCCGGTACAACAATGGGTCAGTACAACAACGTGCGGTACAACAGTGGGGTCAGTACAACAACGTCCGGTCCAACAGTGGGCCAGTTTAACAACGTCCGGTACAGTAGTGGATCAGTACAACAATGTCCTGTGCAGCAGTAGAACAGAAAAACAACGTCCGGACATTTTCTAACAGCCTCAACCCCCCCCCCCTAACTGCACACAGACACCGATCGCATATTGTGTTATAGTATTTATATGCAGTCTGTTGAATATGGATCAGTACAACAATGCCCTGTGCAGCAGGAGAACAGAAAAACAACGTCCGGACATTTTCTAACAGCCCCAACCCCCCCCCCCCAACTGCACACAGACACCGATCGCATATTGTGTTATAGTATTTATATGCAGTCTGTTGAATTTAATGGCCAGGCTGACTTGGAAATTTTCATCAAATTGTTTTTACACACCCGGTTTACAATGATGATGCTTGTAAAGGTGGGCGAACTACTTTGCCTTAGAGCGGGCATTGTCAGACCCATGGTATACGCCCCTGGAGCGACCCGTATTTACGCACCCTGATACCAACCCATTGTTCCGAAAACTAAGCTCTAAGAGACATCTCATGGCAATACCATTACACAGTTAGGCTCCCCCACCCAACACTTTGGGCTGAGGGCTCAAACACAATCTCTCAAAAGAAACACAAGTAGTTAGGAAATTAACTATTAAAATTTCAACGCCAAACCTCATGAAATAACACTTTAAAAAGAAGAAGGAAAAAAATCCCCAACAAAAACTTCCTCAAATTATTCTTAAGTTAATGCCACGCTGCTCCTGGAATTCCCGAGTGAAGAAATCTACCGAGGCAGAAAAAGGCAATTTCTTGTCCTGAATGGGGGCTTTTATCTGGGCGAACTTTTTGAAACCAGATCTTCGCCCGCGTGAGAAGTTTTTCCCCATTGTTGGAAAGTTGTGAAGTGGGCTTAAGTCGGGCAGGAAGGGAGCAGCAGTCATTGCTAGGATTGGACTTCACTTATGCTGAGATTTAGACAGATCTTCATGGCGGATTGAGCATCACGTTTAAAGAGGTTTAGACGACAGATTCATGATGGATTGGACATAACTTTTACAGAGATTTAGAGTAAAGATTTATGGATTTGACATCAGTTTTACATAGATTTAGATTACAGATTTATGGATTTGACCTCACTTTTGCATAGATTTAGACTATTGCTTTATAGATTTGACATCACTTATACATAGATTTAGAATACAGATTTATAGATTTGACATACCTTTTACATAGATTTAGACTACAGATTTATAGATTTGACATCATTTTCACATAGATTTAGTCTACAGATTTATAGATTTGACATCACTTTCATATATATTTAGACTACAGATTTACAGATTTGACATCACTTTCACATAGATTTAGACTACAGATTAATAGATTTGACATCACTTTCACATAGATTTAGACAAGAGATTTATAGATTTGACATCACTTTCACATAAATTTAGACTACAGACTTATATATTTGACATCCCTTTTACATAGATTTAGACTACAGATTTATAGATTCGACATCACTTTTACATAGATTTAGACTACAGATTTATAGATTCGACATCACTTTTGCATAGACTTAGACTACAGATTTATAGATTCGGCATCACTTTTACATAGATTTAGACTACATATTTATAGATTCGACATCACTTTGACATAGATTTAGACTACAGATTTATAGATTCGGCATCACTTTTACATAGATTTAGACTACAGATTTATAGATTCGACATCATTTTTACATATATTTAGATTACAGATTTATTGATTCGACATTACTTTTACATAGATTTAGACTACAGATTTATAGATTCAACATAACTTTTACATAGATTTAGACTACAGATTTATAGATTCGACATCACTTTTACATAGTTTTAGACTACAGATTTATAGATTTGACATCACTTTCACATTGATTAAGACTACATATTTATAGATCCGACATCACCAGATTTATAGATACGACAGATTCATGGATGATTGCATATCCCTTTGACAAAGACTTAGGATTGCATATCCCTTTGACAAAGACTTAGGATTGCATATCACTTTGACAAAGACTTAGGATTGCATATCCCTTTGACAAAGACTTAGGATTGCAAATCCCTTTGACAAAGACTTAGAATTGCATATCCCTTTGACAAAGACTTAGAATTGCATATCCCTTTGACAAAGACTTAGAATTGCATATCCCTTTGACAAAGACTTAGAATTGCAATTCCCTTTGACAAAGACTTAGACAGAAGATTTGTGTAAAACAGTATTGGTTTTAAATCTTTACAGACTCCATGAAGATGTTTCAAAATAAACATTGCTGTTCAGTTTAATTTTATGTAATATGTATATTAAAAATAAGAACAGGAATTGTACGTGGAAAATGTAATCTCGCTTTAACAACAAGGAGACTTTAAAATAGTGCGGGCTGTCCCTTATTCTTACCACCAGAGAAAACTGGAAAATGACTTCTCAAAGGCTATAAAAAAAATTATTTTATGAAAGGATTTGTTGTCGTTGTATGCAGATGTTCGATTGTTGGGGGTTGACATGTCAGTTCTGTTTGATCCAGACCAAATATATATTGTTATTTGATCCCAAATCACACACACACACAAACATTCCGATTGATTTCACACCAACGCCCCGTTCAAACACATTTCTATCTCACACTCAACCCTTTTCAATCGCAAAACCTTTCAAATAAAACACTTTCAAACACACCACCGTTAAAGCACACCCCCTTTCAAATACACCCCCTTTCAAATACACCCCCTTTCAAATACAACCCCTTTCAAAAACACCCCCTTTGAAATACAGCCCCCTTGAAATACAGCCCCTTTGAAATACACCCCCTTTCAAACACACCCCCTTTCAAACACACCCCCTTTCAAATACACCCCCTTTCAAATACAACCCCTTTCTAATACACCCCCTTTGAAACACACCCGTTTTCAAATACACCCCCTTTCAAATACACCCCCATTCAAATACACCCCCTTTTAAATACACCCCCTTTCAAATACACCCCCTTCAAATACACCCCCATTCAAATACACCCCCATTCAAATACACCCCCCTTTCAAATACAGCCCCTGTTCAACTTCAAATCCGTTCCAATACAACTCCCATTCCAACACAAGCCTAATTTAAATATAACCCTTTCAAATACAACCTTTAATTGAAACATAACCCCTTCAAACACAACCCAAATTGAAACATGACCCCTTCAAAACACAACGCCAATGTAAACGTAAGTCCTTCAAACCCAACCGCAACTCCTATAAGAACCCAATGCTTGTTCCAACTCAACCCCAACCGCAACTCCTATAAGAACCCAATGCTTGTTCCAACTCAACCCCAACCGCAACTCCTATAAGAACCCAATGCTTGTTCCAACTCAACCCCAACCGCAACTCCTATAAGAACCCAATGCTTGTTCCAACTCAACCCCAACCGCAACTCCTATAGGAACCCCATGCTTGTTCCAACTCAACCCCAGTTAAATCACCAAAGTAAACAAAAGTGGACATTCGGTTACAGAGACATGCATCGCTCACCAGAACTTCTCTCCCCATCCTTTGTTTCATCATCTCCCTCGGGCCAGCCGTCGTCTTCGGCTGATGCTGCAGCTCTGAGCCCATCGTCATACTCCGCGTCGTCGTGTGCTGCTGTGTCATCCGGTGCCGGGTCGTCGCGCGCCGTGTCATTGCGCGCCGTGTCATGGCGTGCCGTGTCATGGCGTGCCATGTCATTGTGTGCCATGGTGTTGATTATGTTCGTAGACGTTAAACCACATGTTGACGTAGTCAACGATTCTGCGCTGCTTGATGGAGTCATCACTTTTATTGTTGGTGATGTTACTAGCACCCTCCCGTCTGACGCATTCATAGCATTGGATAATTTTATATCGCTTATCGCCTCGTTATTAGTATTGAGTTCATCGAGACATACGTCCTTGTCCTCTGACCTCGGTGATCTGGGGGACCTTGACATTGATGACGGCCTCGGCGATCGAGATGACCTTGAATTTGGAGATAGGGGTGACCTTGATCTCGTTGACGTCGGGGACAGCGATCGTTTGTTGGTCATGAATCCACCATTCAGTGCGGGTGCCCATTCTTCCCGCGCCCCGAAATTCTTTTTCTCTTTGTTTGTTTGGGATTTGGGGAACTGCAATATGTGGGAAATGTCTCTGATGAACGTCGGGTAAGGAGCTGGAGTGGGCAGTACCTGTCTCCTGGGAACCAATGATGACCTGTGGTCAGTAATGTTTGACAGTAGAAAGCCGGATGGAGGGGGGTACGCGCTGTACGGGTGAAGCTGCTGACAGTGTGGAAGGGGTAGTGGGTAAGCACTTCTCGAAAGTACGTCAATGGCCGAGAAATGCGCTGGGGGTTGGAAGAGAGGAACGTTTGGATTAGCCAAGGCTAAAGTGAGAATGTTGGGATTGGACGAGGTTAAGTTACGACCAGGGATGAAATTCACGATGTTGTTTAGGTCGTATTTACGAGTGGGTGCATGTGGCCCCGGGAGTGGAGAATTGGGTATTCGACTCTCGCCTTCTGGTCCGAAAGAGCTTGATTTTGGGTGAGATGCGCCGTCCAAGTTATCATTCACAGCAGAAGCATTTCGGTGACTTTCACGTTGCTGTGTTTGTCTTGGTGAATACATGAACCCCGGAGAAATCAATGCTTCAATGGAAAAGGGAGGAGGGTGATGACATGACGTCTGACTAGAAGACATGGCTGTTGTCATGGAAATGAGAGATTTTTATCCACTAGATGGCTGTTGCCATGGAGATATGAGAGATGTTTAGCCACGAGATGGCTGTCGTCATGAAGATGAGACAAGTTTATCCAGTCGATGGAAATTTTCATGGATATTTCTATCATCATGTTTTACTTCACCAAAATAAATATCCACAAAATGTTTACATTTCGGATTGACCGAGCTGAAATAAATGTAAAACAATGAAGAAACATTTTTTTAAAAATTTAGATCTTTAAATTAATTTCAGGGTTTTAAGTGTTTAAAAATGACTGAAATACTTTGATGCTATTTTGAAGTTAGATATATTTATATATATAGTATATTTTATTTGGAAATATAATCATTCTTCTCACTATGAAATAGCCATGGAGCCAAAGCTGCTCATATGTGGCCCTATGTAGCCAATGGGTAGCCTATATGTGGATCCATGAAGGAGATCCAAAAATCAATTTTTAACAAGGGATTAAAGTTTAAAACACATAATTAATTTTATTAGTTTGTTTCGTTGTCAATCCTGTCTAGTAATCTACTCATTAATTGAGTTAACTTTTTAAAAAAAATCAACTTTATTACATCCATTGTCAAACATCAACATTGTCTAAATGCCGAGACGTTAAAAACTTCATTTGAATATGTTTTTGATCTTGCTGGCAAGGCAGAGAAAGAAAATAACTAAATAATTTTTATTTTTTAAAAGTGTTTAAAAAAAGCGAACGCCTTTCCAGAACTTTGTTTCCGGTTCATTACGTCATTCAGGTTCGCTTTTCAGAAGTCATTCGATTTAAAGCAGATCAGTATTTCAGTTTTACTGGTCGAAATGGACAGGGAGATTTATTGGGATTTTCCCCCTTCAGATATTGAAACTCAATTGAAACTGCTATCAGTGGGCAAATGTGACAATTAGTTGGCTGTGTTGTATCTATTAAGACGTTGTGTTTTGAGGTTTGGTTGTATTAAAATATTTTATAAAGCCGTTCATTACTAAAAAAAAAATATTTACGGTTGATTGCTTTATTCAGGTTCTCTCTGCAGAAGTTATTCAATGTCATGTTAAGGTATCGGTACCAAACATAATTTCTGTTTAAATAGAGTCATTTCATTTTTCATTTTTATTTTATACATCATAAAGGGCTAAAATAACGTATAATATCTCCATAAGTTATAATATTATAAAATTACCCATATCTATACTTAACGGACACTTTGATGTCATACTTTTGCAGGTTATAGTGGATAATAAGCATATATTTTACTAGGTGTTCGATTAATCTCCGTGAATATATCTTTTTTTACCAGTTAGTGCCAATTAGTTAACAAAAATTTCCAAATGAAAATGTTACTGTTAGGTTAATGTGGATGAATATCGCTGAATATTTTAATTTTTAAAGCAATTTTTTTTCCCATAATTTAAAAAAATACGCATTGCAAAATCTTCAATATTTTGTTGTCTTAACAAAGATTAACGATGTCAACACATTTTCTATACCAATTATAAAATTCATTAGTAAATTTTTCTAATAAAAGCACGATTCAGTGAATATCCACCATGTTGTTCAATTTTGCCAACCTAGTTTTATGAGAGTACCGGTACACATCAATAGTGGCCGGCCAATGTCATTGATTCCAAACAACCGAAATACATTTATGACATTAATCCTTTAGTAAAAATCTTTAGTGGAAAAACGATGACTCGGTCGAGTACACGAAGCGAAGTCTAATATTGGGATTAATAGATGATACCATAATATAGATTGATATATATAAACCAGAATGAACTGTTTGTTGTGGTATGAAGAATATAAACTACCACCAAAAAAAGAAACAAAAAACAACTGATTGCTGACACAGAAAGTATGTAGACATACAACAAGTTAACTGATTGCTGACAAACACAGTGTGTAGACATACAAATAAATTGATTGCAGACACATGAAGTATGTAGACATACAAACAAATTAACTGATTGCTGACACATGAAGTATGTAGACATACAACAAGTAAACTGATTGCAGACACATGAAGTATGTAGACATACAAAAAGTTAACTGATTGCTGACACAGGAAATATGTAGACATACAACAAATAAACTGATTGCAGACACATGAAGTATGAAGACATACAACAAATTAACTGATTGCTGACACATGAAGTATGTAGACATACAACAAGTAAACTGATTGCAGACACATGAAGTATGTAGACATACAAAAAGTTAACTGATTGCTGACACAGGACATATGTAGACATACAACAAATAAACTGATTGCTGACACATGCAGTATGTAGACATACAAAAAGTTAACTGATTGCTGACACAGGAAGTATGTAGACATACAACAAGTAAACTGGTTGCAGACACATGAAGTATGTAGACATACAACAAGTTAACTGATTGCTGACACAGGAAGTATGTAGACATACAACAAATAAACTGATTGCAGCCACATGAAGTATGTAGACATACAACAAATTAACTGATTGCAGACACAGGAATTATGTAGACATCAAACAAATTAACTGATTGCTTACACAAAGTATGTAGACATACAACAAGTTAACTGATTGCTGACACAGGAAGAATTTAGACATACAAAAAAATTAACTGATTGCAGACACATGAAGCATGTAGACATACAAACAAATTATCTGATTGCTGACACAGAAAGTATGTAGATATACAACAAGTTAACTGATTGCTGACACAGGAAGTATGTAGACATACAAACAAATTAACTGATTGCAGACACATGCAGTATGTAGACATACAAAAAGTTAACTGATTGCTGACACAGGAAGTATGTAGACATACAAGTAAACTGGTTGCAGACACATGAAGTATGTAGACATACAACAAGTTAACTGATTGCTGACACAGGAAGTATGTAGACATACAACAAATAAACTGATTGCAGCCACATGAAGTATGTAGACATACAACAAATTAACTGATTGCAGACACAGGAATTATGTAGACATCAAACAAATTAACTGATTGCTGACACAAAGTATGTAGAGATACAACAAGTTAACTGATTGCTGACACAGTAAGTATGCAGACATACAACAAATAAACTGATTGCAGACACCTGAAGTATGTAGACATACAAACAAATTAACTGATTGCTGACACAGGAAGAATTTAGACATACAAACAAATTAACTGATTGCAGACACATGAAGCATGTAGACATACAAACAAATTATCTGATTGCTGACACAGAAAGTATGTAGATATACAACAAGTTAATTGATTGCTGACACAGGAAGTATGTAGACATACACACAAATTAACTGATTGCAGACACAAGAAGTATGTAGTCATACAAACAAATAACTGATTGCTGACACAAGAAGTATGTAGACATTCAACAAGTCAAGGAGTACTCACTGTTTTACGAGACTGTACATCTATTTACATGACATTATATGACACCATTACATTTAAATTGCATTGTATGACACCATTACATCTAAATGGCATTGCATGACACTATCACATCTACATAGCATTTTATGACTATGACATCTACATCACATTGTATGACACTATCACATCTACATGGCCACTTGATCAAGAGCGGACATGTACGCCAAACAGAACGAACAAAAAAAAATCACGTATTTTACCATCATAGTGTTGTTGTCATAGAATCATTAAAATCTCATGTGGAGCCTCGTCCAGTCGCGCCGAGATAGCTTTCTACTAAATTGAGAGAAGCTACTCCCCATTGGCACCCATCTAATGAGAGATGAGTTACTCCCCCTTTCACACCCGTCTTCTCCTCCTCTCAGCAGGCGGTGGGGGAGTCGGCCATTTTGTTGCCCTGCCAAAAGAAGAAGAAAAAAAAATGACCCCCGTTCTGATTGGATGAGCTGGATGAAACATGATGGCAGACGTGGCTGTGACTGACAGCTCCATTCACACCCCCCACGACATTTTTTATTGAAGCGACATGAGCGTAACAGTCTGTGACAATTGCTCGACAAAAAAAAAACTGATTTGCCTAGAAAACCCACCGATACAGGCAGATGTTAACATGTGATCGTGTGCAGGTTATTTTAAAGGCAAATAAACCCAAATTTTAAAGTTAAGACAATTCAAAAGTTACAAATATAAAAATATAATAAATAAATTATATTTTAAAAAAAAGATTGACCTTGACCTTGAACTCAGTCGCCGTCCATTGCAGGTTGTCTAACGCTAACAATCATGATTGACGCATTCAAAGCACAAACCAAAAATAAAGCGTCATCAAATCTGAAAGTTAGGAACCAATCAGTCCTATCAAAACTGCTCAAGGCTCATATTGAGGATAAGCCTTACAGAAACCTGGTTTGTGGTGTATCGGACAGCTCATTATCTAAACAAGCTACACCCTGAAGGACAGTAGATCTATATCATTATGAGGTATAAGCAGAACCATGTAAACTTGTTAAAAAAAATCGAGCACCCCCAACCCCCCCCCTTTTTTTTTTCTTTCTTTCCCCCCCCCCTTCTTTGTCCATTTCGATCTTTAAAACGAAATTAACCCAACCTTATTACCACCATCAACCACATCTAACCCCAGCCTAGATTGCCACCATCAACCACATCTAACCCCAGCCTAGATTACCACCATCAACCACATCTAACCCCAGCCTAGATTGCCACCATCAACCACATCTAACCCCAGCCTAGATTGCCACCATCAACCACATCTAACCCCAGCCTAGATTACCACCATCAACCACATCTAACCCCAGCCTAGATTGCCACCATCAACCACATCTAACCCCAGCTTTGATTGCCACCATCTGTGGTGATTTGACTTTCAATATATTAGTGAGGAGTATCTCTCGTATGAGATCTCCTCTTGGCTCTCTGTCTAGGGATTCGTTATTTAAGCCAAATTACCACACAGACATAACACCTATCTATATACATATAGTATAAACTGAAACGAAGTCTCAGGTAAAGGATAAATAACTATGAGTATTTAATGAATAATAATATTTACAAAATCCTCCTTTATACACTCCTGGTACTTAACATAAAATCAAACGGATTTTATCCCAATTAGAAATGTATATTACTGCAAAGCAAGTGTCCCTTACATACAAGCGGTATCATCATAAAATGCTAAATTTTGCTCAAGTTCTATGCTCAATCTTGGTGGACTTATCCTTTATAGTCCTAGTGATGATCTCGGTGGATCACAGTAAGGGAATTCCTTCAGTTCTAGAAGCGTGTCCCTGTTCCGGCCTTCGGAGCTGTTCTAGGCGTAGCGAAGTTGGAGTTCCCGGTCGTAGATTCCGTGGAATGTCTGCGATGGGGAAAATGACTCTCCCGCGATGAATCGTGGTGGTGAGAGTGCCTGGAACTCGAAGTCCTTTTGGTAGCTGACAGGTAGTTTGGTGTAGGATGTAGATCAATCCCCTAGCGTCAGCTCAAGGTAAGTCGGTCCAGTAATGGAAACCAGGCTAAAGGCAAAAGATACAAAATTGGATAAGTATCCAAGCGAATAGCCATAAGCGGATAAGTCCCGTTCCACTAGCAACGAATTCAGATCGATGTATGGAAGGTGACATAACTCGTGCATATACATCCAAATTGTGGATGGGATTATAAGTCTGATCATTGTCGGCGTAAGCAGATCTTGCTTCGCGACAATGTTGGACTAAGCAAACAATTCAATCAACATAGTATGGGACATGGTAGCATTAACAATCAGTAAAATTATAGGTACATGAAATTCATATTGTCTTCTTTTTAAAAGGAGACGTGTGCACTTTAGAGCAACACCTGCCATTCCCATGATGGAATGGCGGCGGGTCGTAGCACGTGGCAAAATCAATAATAGAATTCATAATATCAATATAGATGAATATAGGCATTATCAGAATAAAATCAAACACGAACGATAATATAAATACATGGGCAATAACATGATACCAAAATCATGGTTGCGTACTTACTAGTACTCTAGGTAGCAGTCGCAGTTAAGTATCTCGCTAGTGAAGTACTAAGTCCAGTTACTTCAAGCGTTCACAATTGAGTGATCAAATCTTAAAAGACGTGTACTTGCTAAGTCCTAGGTTGCAGTTATGAATCACGCTAGAGAAGTTCTTAGTCCCTTCCTTCAGGCGTTCACAGTCAAGTGAGCACGATCATAAAAGACAGAATGTTGCTTGTTCAGACTATTTATTCGAGTTGGGTGGCGATTAGGTGATGATTCAATTGGGTGATTCAAATGTTCTATGTTTTTCCATCCAATGACAATTACTTTCGATGTTGCGGGTTTGACCTCCTACCCTCAAGGTTTTTCGGGGTGAGGTGAAAATCCAAATTCACGCTTTCACGTGAGCAATCTGGTTAAGAAATGCAATAACAACGAAGGGGCGCTACTCGGCTTTGCTGTCTCCAGGGCAGAAATGAGGGGGGTGACGGTATTAATTTCCTCAAGGTTTTTCGGTGGGATGGGTTGACCGCAAATTGCACGCTCTGGAGGTGAGCGAACTGAGGCAGGAATGCGATAACACAAGGGAACTCACTCGTGCTAAGCGACTGCGGGGCAAAACATAGGGAGGGAATGGTATTATATTACAGGGTATTCATAGGCGTAGTTGAGGGGAAAGAAATTTTATAAAGTCTAGCTCCAAATCATCACACCATCAACGCCATTAACCGCAGCCTAGATTGCCACCATCAACCACATCTAACCCCAGCCTAGATTGCCACCATCAACGACATTAACCGCAGCCTAGATTGCCACCATCAACCACATCTAACCCTAGCCTAGATTACCATCATCAACCACATCTAACCCCAGCCTAGATTACCTTCATCAACCACATCTAACCCAGCCTTGATTGCCACCATCAACCACATATAACCCCAGCCTAGATTACCATCATCAACCACATCTAACCCCAGCCTAGATTACCACCATCAACCACATCTGACCCCAGCCTAGATTGCCACCATCAACCACATCTAACCCCAGCCTAGATTGCCACCATCAACGACATTAACCAAAGCCTAGATTGCCACCATCAACCACATCTAACCCCAGCCTAGATTACCATCATCAACCACATCTAACCCCAGCCTAGATTACCACAATCAACCACATCTGACCCCAGCCTAGATTACCACCATCAACCACATCAAACCCCAGCCTAGATTATAACCATCAAGTAAATTTGACAGGTATGGACGTGCGCTACCTCATTCAACGTTGATATCACTCCTTACTTCAACATGGATATTATTTCTGCCACACATGTATATCCACACATATTTGACTATGCGACCTTTGGCAAAAAGAAATCCTTCATTGATTGGGCTGCATACAGGTCAGGTTTGACACATGATGCTATTGAATGGACACATAAAACAAACCCTGAAATCAAAGTTTTTCATCAAAAATCCTTTATATGCATTTTTTAATTATTAATTTGTATTAATATTCTAATGACCCACCCGATTTTATACGGCATAGTTATCACACCAATTATTTCAGAAAAACTGATTTTTGGTGTTTGGGGGGTGGGGTATGAACATTTGATAGAATGTGTTGTCCTTGTGTTGATTTTAAAACTTCCAATAAAACCAATTTAAAAAAAAAAATTACGTAGGATCGAATCAATTGCACATAAGTATATTTATTCGGTCTCTCGTTCTCTCTACTTCTTCACTTCCTATTCCATCCCACGCTCACTTCTCTCACGAAATATTCCTCCCCCCACTTTTTTACTGTCACTTTTTCTCTGCCTCTCTCTTCCTCTTTCCCTCATTCTTTTTCCTTTGCCCCATCAAATTTGCATCATTATCATATTAACAGGACACTGTAGCCGCCATCTCACCAAATGAACAGGACACTGTAGCCGCCATCTCACCAAATTAACAGGACACTGTAGCCACCATCTCACCAAATTAACAGGACACTGTAGCCACCATCTCACCAAATTAACAGGACACCGTAGCCGCCATCTCACCATAATCAACAGGACACCGTAGCCGCCATCTCACCAAATTAACAGGACACTGTAGCAACCATCTCACCAAATTAACAGGACACTGTAGCCACCATCTCACCAAATTAACAGGACACCGTAGCCGCCATCTCACCAAATTAACAGGACACTGTAGCCGCCATCTCACCAAATTAACAGGACACTGTAGCCACCATCTCACCAAATTAACAGGACACTGTAGCCACCATCTCACCAAATTAACAGGACACTGTAGCCACCATCTCACCAAATTAACAGGACACTGTAGCCGCCATCTCACCATAATTAACAGGCCACCGTAGCCACCACCTTACCCTCTAAGAGTTGCCAACCAGCCTTGCTACTCGCTCGATGTTATTACCTCGTCTCATCGACGTCCCCGTAAACGCTGCATTGATTAGATGTGTACCTGCAAACAAAGAAGGTGTTTGCCAGCGATTAGAAACGAGGGAAGGTTCACTCACGAGAGTGTCCTATATCACAGGTTAAAGTGTGTGTGGGGGGGGGGGTAACTCGACGCCTCGGATAATGTTGGCGCCCTCAGCTGGGTCACGAAGATGTCACCTGAGATCTAAAATGGTGCTATTTGCTAAAATAACATCATAAAACAGCGGTGGGCGAGTCTCGGGAAGAAAACGATTAATTGTCCCCCCCTTTAAGGGAACTTCACAACAAATAAGTTTAGGGCTGGAAATGGAAGGGACTCAGTTTTGGTCCGAGTCTA